AAGAATTGCATCCGCAAAAAAATTGCACCTGGCTGCTAGCTGAACTCCCATACTCCTGCTGCCTGGAAGCCAAGCCCCACCGTTCCTGCTCTGCATTTCTCACTGTGTTGAGGTTACTTTCTGATACCCAATGCACACCAAGGTTGCTCCTTTCCAAATTTCTGATTTCCAAGTGGCTTTACTATTCTTTATGCATCCTTTAATATCTCTCTTTGAAGGTTGCCAGAAAAAAACACTATGTAATCTTTAGGGCACATACTAAAAAAATATTTGTTGTTAATCTGCAATTCAAATATCACTGGGTAAGCTGTATTGTTACTTGCTAAAATCTGACAACTCTGCTGGCCTCTAATTGCTCCAGTCACTTTCCAACTCCCTTTTTTTCGGTGATCAGCAGTTAGCGTAATGGCTATGTCGCTGGACTCCCACGCAGTTGACTGCGGTTTGTGTCCAACTCCCTTTTTCCACCCTTTCCCTCTATCCTGCTGTAAAGGTCCAGACCTTTCCTTCTTTATTTAGAGAGGCATAACAAGGCTCCTACTTCATGGAGAAAACAGTATGAACACATCCAAGTCTCTCCTCTCTGAGTTCGAGCGCAGTAACAACTTCAACCACTTTAACCTCCTTCTCACCTGTTTCAGAAATAAAAGCAACTCTACTTCTTCCCAAGACAGACTCTTGCCAATATCACCGTGCTCCTTCCTCCAAGCTTTCTAAGACTCGGGTTCCTTCGTTGTTCCTTCTCTCTCCTGTACTTTCAATTCTTGCTCCTGATGACTCTTTACCTTCAGTCGTTTTGAGTGTTTCTGTGTTTTCTCTACCAAAAACTCGCTGCTTCCCTTCACTCTAGGTCCATTCACATTTTAGACAAGATCATGCCATGATGGCATGCTGATACCCAGCTGAGGGTCCTTTCTGTCTTTCTCTCTCTTTCCTTCCCCTCTCTCATTTACCAACCTTGAAAGCCACAACCACACAAACGTGAGTTCAGCCTTAATACCACCAGTTCTGAGCTGTGACTGTGGGCAATTTCTTTCAACTTCCTTGAGCCTTAATTTTGTTTTCTCTAAAATGGTATAATGATATTATATCACATATAGTCCTTCAGTCATTGTGAGAATTAAGAAGATTCACATGTGTAAGAGTCCCCTACAGTTCCAAAAGACATGCTTCACTCTTTCACCACCTTTACCCCTGTGTTATACTCATCGCATTCAACATCTCACTTTTCATTTTTCATTCACTGTCTCTTTTGATTTTCAAAGAAAATTATTTTGTTGTTAAATTAATACAAAAGACTTCAAAAAGTTTGGGGAAAAAAGCAATCAAAGTAAGTTTGTTTTAGTGCAAGAAACATTGAAATCCATGCCTAAATTTTTATAATATGCATTTTCCATGAACTCTTTGAAGACCATCTCTTACTGCAGATACATAGTGTTAAAAGGATCAAGTAGTACAAAACTCACAAAGAAAATCATCAGTCCTCCAGTCATTGCAATCACTATAAAGTCTTGATGTTTCTCCTGGTGGCTACGTACAAATCTCTAAATGACATAGAGGTACAACTCTGTTTCTCCATTATCGATCTTAGACAATATCTACTACTTTCCTGCCATGTTGGTTTATTAATAATTCATTTAGAGGCTTTCCCAGTTGTCATTTCATCTCTAGCTGTCCATTCTTTAGAGGTCATGGAAGCTAATTAAAAACCTCATATGTGGACTTGTCAGTGGAGGAGTGATTGGTGATCAGGCTGCACACGTTTGTTGGAAGAACCCAAATATCATATCTGGAGATCTTTACTTCTGGGCAATTTCACTTCAGAGGAATTCTAAACTCTCTTGTCTGATTTCTAGTATTTTCCTGAGTGAATCAAGGAAGAAGAGCAGGGGAGACTCATTTGTAGTGGCACAGGCAGTAACTTGTCAAATTGTAGTGGTGGAAGCCATCCGGTGATCACTGTTTAAATATTCAGCCCAATTATCTTAAATGTCTAAGACTCGTACACCCATACCCAGGATCCAATAAGCTAGAAGACTGAGGAAAGGGGATCGTGGTATGATGAGACCCTGCTGAGGGAGCTCTCTTCTCCATCTCTTTTTCATGCATACACACATGCTCTTTCAGAGGAGAGAGGAGGAGTATTTCAGTATTTTGGATGTAAACAGAACCACCATAATAGTGCTTGTTCATTGCATTGCAGACAGAAATACTTGACACTGGGTGATTTGTAAAAATAGAGATCTATTTTGACTCATGATTCAGG